ACTGCCAAGGATGCATCGATGCTGGCTGCATATGGATCTCCTCCATTGAACCCTGTCCACCCCATCCACAATAGTCCTGCCCCAGCCAACATTAGCAGGATATTGTTTGGTGGAAATCTCTCTCTGTCCTTTGTTGACCTTGGACCCACCTGCAATAATTATCATGGACATGCAATCCTTTATTCTATTGTTTGGTTGGGAAATAAGTTATGTTATGATTAATTATTTCAGGATTAGTTATATCGTAATTTTATCCCAATCAAACATGGGATAAACTCATCTTAAATTTTTTAATCTCAAGATTATCCCTTATCTGTCATAGTGTAAAATAGATTTTTTGTGCACCAAACGTATCTTTAGAACTTATGATCTTATATGTATCAGAACATTTCCATGGCTACACTAACACGTTATTAAAAAATATGAAGTTTAAAGTTAAAAATAATTCACATATAAAAAATTATCTTTCCTTTTTAGGCAAACCGATCAAAAAAGAAATAGTGAGATATAAAATGAAACCTTGAGCGCATTACTTTGTTTCTAACTTTTTACGTAATTTATTACTAATTAATCCTATCAGTTGGGGTAGTGTATACATAATTGATTTTTTTTTTTTTTTTTTTTTTTTTTTTTTTTTTTTTTTTTTTTTTTTTTGTAAAATCATTTGGTATTCAGGACTCACTAGCTCGACTAAGTACCATTTAGGATCCAACAAAGTGAAAACGCTCACTACTAGGGGATTTTCCATTCCTAAGTCTCAAATTCGAGACCACTGATAATAAGTGGGAGAGATATCATCCATTCCATCGCACCCTTTTGGTGGTATATAATTGATAACAATATTATGGTCGTACGAACTATAATGTTGTATCCTTACCCAATAAGCAGCGGTAAAACCAGCGACTCCAGAAGACAAATGGATGACATATCCACCAGAATAATCAATTATACCCTTGAGAGATAACCAACCATTCGTAGACCAAATGGTGTATGCTCCAATTGTATAAGAAAACGTTAGCCATAATGGAACAAATAGCATCCACGCATAAAAATTCATTCTTCCCAGCAATGCTCCCGCAATCAAAATCAAAGTAATTGCCGCAAAAACAAACTGGAAAAAAACCATAGTTGCATTTGGGAATAACCCAAGAAATGCTTGCTCAAAGAGGTACTCTTGTTCCAATGCAACATCCACTTTTCCCCATATTGGTATAAGTTTCTCACCAAATGACAATCTGTATCCCCAACAAACCCAACAGACAAGAACACAAGCAAAGGCGTATAAAGCCATAAAAGCTGAATTTACTGCCCATTTCTTTTTTACTGCTCCACCGTACAATATTATAAGCCCTGGTACACTTTGCATTCCCACTAAGGTGGCTGCAATTAGCTGCCATGCATTGTCACCTTTGCTCATCCATGGCGGATTCGCGTCGTTTGGATTCAAGTTTGAAGGGAGCATAGAAAAGTTAAAAGCTGGAGGAAAAGGAGGAGGTGGAGCTAATAAACTCATCTTGATCAATTTCTTCTTTTCCTTTGGTTTTTTGAGGAGTAGTACTTCAGGAGATCTAAGAAATTAAACGGTGATATTCATTTATGGAATGTGAAAGGATTATATAAGACTATAGGATGGTGGATATGCTAGGAGAAGTCGAAAATAATAAAGAGTTGATTCTCACGACAAGCTGTAATATTTCTACAATGGTAGCTTTCTTGTCAATATTTTTGTAGTTGATCTATGTCATTACTCGCTATATGTAGTCATTGGTCACTACGCTAAAGTATGTAATGTATATTTTATACGGGTATTACAATGTTTTATTGGCAGTGTAACGACAATTGCAAGGAAATCTTTCAGTTTCAGCAGATATTAGAGGAGGAGCTGCCGCAACTCTTGATCCCTTCGTTTATTATTAGTTTGTATGTCAAAACACTAGTTCTATTATTTATTTTCTATTGTCTCAACATTGTGTTCAATATCTTAAGAAAAATATATCGCTCACATTTTAGACCAAAATTTGGACAGTTAATTGGTTTGGATACCAGATTGGACTCGTTTAGTGTACTACCAGATTTTTGGAAATTGAAATTATCTTTAAAAGAGTGGGCTGGTCCCTTGCCCAGAAGGGAAATTTAGAGAAATAGGATTCATTAAGGTTTTCACTTTTCATCATAAAATCGTGGTCAAGTGACAACCAGCTCGTATCGTGGCAACAAGCAATGTATAAGCTGGACATCGAGAGAATGTAGTTAGCCAATGTGTAACTAGAAAGCTGAACCAATGTAGTTAGCCAATGTGTAACTGAAAGCTGAACCATCAGAGCATTAATTAGATAATGCTTAGATTCTTTGGAAACACGATTATATAGTGGTTTGGGTTTAGTGATGGCTTGCCCCATGTGTGAATATGACTATATTTTGCACAGTGATAGACATCATCCAGTCAAACAATAACAAATTAATCCAATGAACTTCAATTCAGTTTAATTTTCTTTCTCACAACTTTCTTACAGCTTTCATAAGATACAGCCAGATGTTAGTCTACAACTAATAGCCTGTTTGCCAAAAGTGCTTTTTTTTTTTCAAAAGCATTTTTAGCCAAAAATTGAGGTGTTTGGCCAAGCTTTTGAAAGGAAAAAAAAGTGTTTTTGAGGAAAAACAGAAGCAGTTTTGGAGAAGCAGAAAAAAGTATTTTCTCTCCAAGAGCACTTTTTTGATAAGCATTTTTGAGAAAAATACACTTAGAAGCAGTTTTTTAAAGCTTGGTCAAACACTAATTGCTGCTCAGAAGTGTTTTTCAAACTAATTAGCCAAACACAAACTGCTTCTCACCAAAAGTACTTTTGAAAAAAACACTTTTGAAAAAAAACACTTCTCAAAATAAGCTGATTTTTACAGCTTGGCCAAACAGGCTATAAGCCTGCCTCTCCCACTAAAAGCTTCAACACGCGTAAACTACTCTCCAAATTACGACAATTTCTTGAGCACGCTTTGTGGGACTCTCTTTGAACCCCGTCCTAGATGCTTTGCTTCCACCTAACACAATTTTACTTGGCCTAAACTTACATCCTGGCAAGAATCTTCAATGTGGAACTTTTGTTGGGGAAGAAGGTAGCACATTCAAGTTCTTCTTCACGAACAAACAGTAAAGCTCAGGATTCAACAGCAACATCTTCGGTTCCACTAGCGTAGTCAATGTCAATGCATCAAGGTCCCTGCAAGAACTTTTTGGTTCACCTCCTGTGGTGATGACCACATCACTTACTCCGTAGTTATTCATATGCGGATAAATGACATGATGTACCGACTTAAATAGCACATTGCAGATGCTGCTAAACCAATTGTCCAGCTCCACTTCACTGGAGAACAAGAGCTCAGAACAATCATTCGGCAGGAGGAAGACTTGGCTGCTAGTTTCAATCACTAGCAGTCTCAGGCCTGCCCAACACCCTCAGTTCTTTGGGTCGCAATTTCACAAGCCGTATACTCAGTGCAATGAAAAATAAAATTTCTAGAAAATGTTTACTTAAGAAGAATCAGTAATATTGAGGCAGCTTCGGGCATGAGACTTGCATGCAATAGATATTTCTCAAGAGGTTTACAAGTTACAATATTGAGTAACAGATCATTTCAACCTGTTCAATCATGAGGAATTGAAGAAACCTCCTTTCACTTAATTCCAATGTTTTACTTCTTTCCAACCTTGAACTATTTTGATAGCCCAACCCACTTTATCTTAAATATGAAATTAGGCCAGCATTCTTGCTGTTGGCGATGGCTTCAATCTTATACATTTCAAAGTATTGTGAGTGCAGTGAGAGCCATTCTATGCACAAGGCCAATGAGCAGAATGCAGAAAGGGCATCCCAGTTCTCTCTCTTTAATACGGTTAGCTGAAGTCAAAATGTAACCCTCTCACTTGGATCAGGATTAAATGTTCTTAACCAAAGTCATAGAAGCGATGGCTGCAGTTTGTTTTTCTGCATTAACTGTCAGCACGGCTTCTCTATAGTGTATCCTACTAGACAATCAGGTTCAGGGAAAATGTGTTGGCTGTTGAATTTTCATCAAGCAAACCTTGTATGGATGGAGCTTCAGATAATAGCATAATCATAATCATGAAGGGTTGATAAAGAGATATTGAAGCAGTGGAGCGACTACTCCCACGCTTAAACTGTTTCCTAGCATTGCATAACTGCAACGGAAAACCAAAAGGCATATCTTAGCAAGTAATTCTTTTATGAAACCCAGAAAAAAACTAATTAAATCTTGTGAAGTAAAAGCCAGGAATAACTCCTAGCCCTCCTCTCACTGATTCTTGTCAGGATAGCATTTAAGCTAATTAAAGGGACGACACTAGTTGGCAACCTCGGCAATTTGGTGTGGTATTACCATGTTTACTTGTTTGTTTGTTCATTTACTTGTTCACTTCTGAAAATATGGAGTTTTAAATAAGATCTGAATGCCTTCTATACAGATTCAAATAATGAGATGATCAGAATCACTATATACTCCGTCTTTTTCATGCTATATGGCATTCTTTCTGTTTTACCCTGTTCCAAAATGAATGACATGTTCTACATTTGAAAACCTTTTTAACTGTAAACTTTCCGTTTTACCCTTAATGATATGCTCCTATAGCCATAAAAATTGTCATGGCACCACAAGTTTTAAGAGTATTTTTTATATGTAAAAAAGTCTTTCTTCTTTCTTAAACATGGTGCCCAGGGGAAAACCACCACATAAAATGAAGCGGAAGGGTTACACTTTTTCTAAAATAGGAAAAGATACTATGGCTTGTAGCAGGATAGGGACATGGAAATTTTTCTAAAATTTCAGTCCATCCACAATGGCCGTATGCCTATGCAATATCAGCTTCTATGAATAACAATCAACAATTACACACTAACAATTTGAACTACAAAATCACAAGAGTTAAAGAAAGAAATGATTCATTATTATTGAAGTATGAGTACTGGGAAAAACGACATACCGTTGACGAAGACTAATGTGTTGTGGAAACTGGAAGTCTTCTGGAAAAGAATGCAAATTTGCAACCTACAATATCAAGAGGCATGAGATGTCTTGAATCTATATTGATTTATTTCCCAAAAGAAAGCTAAGAAGTAAGAAGAGAGAAGTAGTTCATGAACTAAGAGAATGAATACCTCCCTAGGTGTGAAGTATCTTAGACACAGATCCTGCAGTGAAGGTGTTCTATTCTCTATCTTTTCCTGGATTTATGAAATGGTACCCCATGAAATCACTGGAGAGAAGTGTTTTTAAAGGGAAAAGCGCAAAAAATGACAGTGTTGATGAGGCTTGGAGCGAAAAGCATGAAGTGAAGCGTACAAGTTACAAAAAATTTAAAACTACTAAACACATAGTTTAGTACTATAATAACCAAATTGCAACTAAACTCATTTCAGCCTCCAAAATACAATAATGCCGCTTTTAATCCAAAAATTCTCAAAGTTGAGATTTGACAAACCAACTGCTTCTTATTGGGAAGACGGAGATTTGAATGATGCATTATTGTGAACCCACAAATGCCACCTTGGCAAGCAATGACCATCCTCACTCAAGTAATACGAGTTGTATTTAACACAATGTAAAATTTCTCCTCTCTTATAGTCTTCATTCCACCTTCATTGACCGCTAGAACATCCTTGGATGCTAAAAATGCTCCTACTAGTGTAATGTCTGACATCTACAACAAATTCATTCTACAGAGAGAGGGAAGACAGATAAACCTCCACAAAAACCACAACTTGCAGTCAAAAAGAATCCATGTGATCACTGTTAACAAGATGTACATAGGTCTCATAGAAACAACATGCTCAAATTGGGGTTTTCAATTAATGTAAATACAGGAGGAGGCATAAAAGAGAAGGAATAGATCTCTTGTAAAATTTTAAAGAATGTGGAACTACTTAGGGGTTGTTTGGTTCAAAGAGAAGTTTAGGAATAAGTAGTGTAGGGTTAAGTTAACCAGGGATAATAGTGCAGAGATTATTTCTTGTTGAATTTTTAATCCATGTCTGCTAATACCCATATTGTTATTCCATATCCTGTCCGATATAAAATAATACATAAATTCCGGCATAACTTATACAAGCATTATTATAAGGAAGAACAAACTAGTAACCAAACAATGTACAAAACAATGCTGAGTTCTATACGGTGATTATTTCTCCATACTAACCACCCAAACGAGCACTTATTGTAAGGGGCTACGAAAATAAGCAGTAATCAATATATCTTCCCTGATATGCAGAATCATGGTTGCATGTCTGACATCTCATGTTCCTTATAATTACCAAAAACTTGCATTCAGCTATTCAGTTTTCTTCTCCATTTCTATGGAATGCCTAAACAAGAAATATCAAGGTAATCCTATAGAGTAGCAAAAGAAGAAATAAGAATATAAACCACTTTTCAGAAGCTACAGGGATTCTTTCTTAATTGTAATATTATATTATAAAGACAAGAGAAAAAAGAAAACATATTCAAGGAGAAAAGTGAACATAATGACATACTTTAAAGCTTTACCTGGACAGTTGCCAGCAGGGAGCCAGTACCCTTCACATATCTGTAATAACTTTTTGTAAAACAACAGCAACGCTTTGAATGAGGATAAACAATATCTGTAATATTTTAAGGATGCACCCCAACAATAACTGACAAGCAGAGAAAGCTATATTATGACATACTAAGAAACAGAGGAAGGAGAAGGAATCAACAGGAAGAAGGATACCCATGGCACTTCCCCATCTTTCGACCAAGCTTGATGGAACAAAGTACACATTATTTTCCTCATCACTTCTATCTGATTTTGCAGAGTCATTGGCATGGAAAGAGTAAGTTGATGAGTCCTCCCCCTTGCCAAAAGTTTTAAATACAAGAAAATGTTCCACAGGTTGACAAGCTTGAAGCAGCTCATCCCAATACTCTGCCGATTGCAGCCGTTCCTTTTCCATTGCGCTTTCAGTCTGTCCAAGTAAAGGGCCAGGGGTCCGAAGAAGCTGATTATTAAATTCAGGGACTTCAAAGGATAAAGGTTTCCTTTTGGCCTGCAGTAACATATTTCCAGTGGATTCAAATTTGTGTGTTGCAAAATAAATAAATAAATGATCAATAACTCTTAGCCCATATACACAAGCATAGAACTTGCTATGAAATGCTTTTTGGTCGCCAATAAGCCATGTTTATGTTATACTAAACTCCCATATTTAACTAGTCTTTAACAAATAATAACGATGAAAAGCCTTGATTATTTATTTTCCAACTCAAGCATGTCTTCTGGAATTTATAGGCCATTGTTCATAAATTCACCTAAACTTTTTCAATACTAGATAGCTGTCTGTTGCCTTGGTTCAAGGGACAGAACACGTTTTATGAAAAATGGACTAACTTAAGGATAACTTGAAACAATTACAGTTTTTTTGATAACCAAGAAATCCTCGAGGACTGTGGCGCACGGTTCGAAACTCGGNACTCACACATTACGCATTGCACTCTTACCGGTAGATCAAAGCCTGCTCTTGGGCAACTCAAAACAATTACACATTAGAACAGATCAAGTGCTACGACAAGGTATACTAAGATAAGCTTGGCCTAAAATCAAAACAGGACTGCATTTTTACCTTACATATGTTTGTCAACTATGCTACCCGAGTTTTTATAAACGAAGTATCCAACATAACATAAAATGTAAGAACTTGTAATGACTGTTTAAGCATATAAAAAAAAGGGTAACTTAGGAAGCCGTTAACAGAAAACCATAATGTACTGAATATAATTCGAAAGTTGAGAGGAACCATGCTAGTTACTAGATGTTAAGCATTTGACTAAGATTTTTATCTTTGCTCGCCTATGCCAAATATGAACATGCCTTTGACTTTTCTTCAAATACAACAATCTTTGCTCCACAGAATTGTGAAAGGTGCAACTTACAAGTTTCAATATGTCAAATTTAGTATTTGAGAAAAATCGACAAAAATCAGTAGGTAAAACTACCTATCTTTTTCCCATTCGCTGGGAAAAAGAGAACTTTTATTTACACATGTGGGTATTCATAAGCCAAAGAAAAATGCCCAAGTTCTTCCAATTTTTTATTATTTTCTTTGTTCTCCTCATTAATCTGTTTCCCACAAAAAACTTTGCTTTCTAAGATGAAATTTCAGTCATTTCCCATAATACACCTCAGTCACTACTCATTAATCATAATATTTAATCCATCAATCAATTAACTATACCTCAATCAGAAACTAGTTGGATTGGATAAACGAAATTCTTTGGTACTATTCCACTCTATTTAGCTCATTCCATTTCAACATATTGATAAGTGTAATACATTCACAAAATATTAACAATGTTACAGATATACAACTCTTTGAAAAAACGAAACAAGTCCAGAACATGCAAAATGAATGAAAACATACATGTGATGACGATGTATACTAGTCCATATTAGTGATACAAACCCAAAGAGGAAGACATAGAGACATACCAAGCAATAATAACGAGGACGAGAATATGGCAGTCCAAATTGCAGTGGACTCAAAATAAATTCTTGTGTAACAAAATTATTCTTTTCCAATATTTTGACCAATATCTCATGGGTATCAGAAGTCTGCAATAACGGAAAAAGTATTACATATTCCAAGATGACCATCTTTGAAAAGTATAGCAGAAGATAGCCGGATAGACTTAGTAAAATATAGGTTGTAGAATGGAGCGTGGATTGGAAAGATACAAACCTCAAATCCTACAACATTTTCCACAAAAAGATATGATGGAGGCTGCAATAGCTGTGGTATAAGTTCCAGAATTTTAATAAAAGATGATGCACGCGCATCACAGGAACCTTTCTGGAGTCCTGACACAAAAACGTAACAAAAAGGTTTCAGTTAATATGTCAATAAGAAGAAGACGAAAATAAAAGGGAAAATTGGGAACACAATTCATCACCTTGGCGTGTATATGGCTGACAAGGAGGAGAAAGCAACCAAGCATCAGCATTGTAGCGATCAAGATCAGTGGCATTCAGAGTCTGAATATTACCCTAAGGTCATCCAAAAACATAAACTTTACCAATACTAGTTAAGTATCATAAAAAAAATACCAATGGATGAACAAATTCTCAGTGACTTTTTTTTTTGATAAGTACACATTGTCAGCAACCGAGCAACGTTCACATAAAGTTCAACTGACTAAAATTCTCCCTCCATTCAAATTGAGTTTCACATTATTGTTTTTAATCCATGTGACAATAAAACAGTAAACTTTTCATACATAGTAATAGAGGACTCACTTCTACTTTTCTCTATGAACTTATTCTCTACTTACTATACTTAAAATAGAAGATACCTAAAAGCTTAAGCATGACGCGCATGTTCCTTCAATAAATACTGAATAATATAAAAAATTTAGAGCAAAGACAAACAAAATTATTAAACTGAGAACAAATGCCAACATTAGGAATGATGTAATGCACTTTGTAAGTTTCTAGTTTAAATAGAAGTTGTCTCGTTACCACAAAAAAAAAGGAATTATGTGGTGAGTTTTCTCAAAAACCTGAAAGGGGCGGTGACCGAAATTGTGCTGGTAAACGTCATTAGCGACGTCGTTTATGTCGAAAGCTTCCACAACGGTGGCCTTGACGGCGGATTTGAGCAAAGAATATCGCATGCCGCCAATGCCACTGTAGAACTCCAGAACTCGCCATGGCTTTCTAGAACCTTCCAACTCCATCATCTTGCTGTTCCAACAATTTGAAAGGAATTCACAGAGTTCGCAAGTTGAATGATATTTTTTCCGGCCGAAGCAGCTAGGTCGGATGAAGCTCTTTAATTATTAGAGTTGTTATGTTAACTCAAATGGTCCCTTAAGTTTGGGGAATGATCTTTGTTGGTCCCTACAATATATTGCTAAGCATATATATTAATATATAATCCTTAAGTTTAGAGAATAATACGCTTACACCAACATGGGAGCTCCCTCGGAATAAACAATTCAGGAGCCGTTTGGTACGCGGACTAAATTATCCGGTATTATAATTCCATGACTAATTTATACCATATGGGAGGTGGGATAAAATAATCTCCAGTTTGATGTGATAAGATGGGATATCCTGAATTAAGCATGGGATTAAATTTATATCGTGTTTGATTGGTAGTATAAAATACCGTCAACCAAACACGATATAAATTTAATTACACATCTTATCCCACCTTGTCTCTTGTACCAAAACAACTTCTAAAGAGTAAGTGAACGATATAATATGTCCACTTAAGATCGGAGATGAACGTCTTAGAAGGAAAGTAGTGCCAAAGCATTAATGCCCTCGTGGAGTTAATACTATTATCTTTCAATATACTAATTTTTAATATGTCTGCTCATATTGTTTCATTGGCAAGCACTGCTTTGATAGTTCGAGATCGAGATAGTATTGGTCAATCAATTAATGTGACTTGTGCGGTACAAAAGGAACTACCAAGATCCTTATCCTGTCAACAAACTTTTTGGCTAGTACATCGGCCCCCCTATTCTGCTCCATGTGGTAATATCTTAGATGAATTCCCTAGCCGGTGGAGCAACAATTTGCATTAAGAGATAATAGGATCATAAGGTGATTGTCTCTGTTAAGCATTTCTATTACTTCCATCGAGCACTTTGTGACCTCAAATGATCTGATATTATTCTCATTGCTTCGCTTCTCTAGGTATAGCGAGCTTAAGAGAATGCTTTCAATTTGACTGTCTAGTATTTTTTTTCCACATTTTAATACCAAAATCTTTTGAATTGCCAGTGACATTCCCATTTATTTTCCCTCCCAAATAACTCATCCTATTACTGAACTAAGTTTGAAAAACAACCCATCTTGTGTTTGGACTCGTCTATTAGTCACTCACTTATATAATTTTATTCTTTTTCATTCTGTACTTGTTTAATATTAAATAGAATAATTTTTATAAAAATACAAAACTTATGTTCTAGTATGTGGGCAAATATAAAAGCGTGTGATATATGGTAATCGAGAAGGTTGAGAATAGACTGCGTTGATAATATCATGAGATATTCTTAAGGGGAAAATGCCATTATTGCCCCTGTACTATTGGAATTTAAGCATGTTTTCCCCCGTTACACTATACGTTCAATCCACACCCTACCGTTAATAAAGTTTATGTAATTACCATAACCCTAACGCCTCGTCAATGTGGCAGCTGACCCCCTCTCTTTTTTTCCAAGTCAGCTGCCAACTCAGACTTCCACTAAGTTATAATCCCCAAACCCAACGACCAAATTAGATTGACCCAATCCAACTCCCAAATTAGATTGACCCGTAAACCGTAATTGTCCCACTAAATAAATAGAATTAACCCGTCTTAAAATACCTTATTCACCTCATTTGGTCGAACCTTATGGTACTTCAAAGAAAACGAGAGAACTAAACCAATTAGGATCCTTGCTTCCAGTGGCGATTTCAAGCAAGGGTGGGAAATTTTTCTCTAAAAACTTGATGTTTCTGTTAGTTTTATCTATTTCTTGTTTTATCCCAAAAAAAATTCCCAAGGATGCTCTTAGTGGCGTTTCGAATCCCTTTCAGATATGTTCTTTGTTGGTTAGGGATTTCGGTTCCCCTTTTCTTTTTCGCTTATTTGAAGCTGATAGGTGTGTGTAGTTGTCATAGGGTTTCTAATTTTTTCTAATTTGGTATTTATTGAAGTTAGGGTTTACAGATTTATTCTTTGTTGGTTAGCGTTTTCACTTCTCCTATCTTTGTCCATAATTTCAAGTTGGTAGTGTGTGTTTTGTCTTTGTATTCACTTGCATGTGATTTTACAGTAATAAACCCTAATTTTACTCTTTTTGTTTGCATGTGCCTCATGTGGTATTGAATAGTCTTTTGGTGGTTTAGAGTTTCAATTTTAATATTTTGTGGTCCCAACTTCTTTTGTTTTTTTTTATAAAAAATAAGTGAATCAAAATTTTAATATTGGCTTTCATTTGTTCTTTTGTGCGTTATTTGCTGGAGGGTGGGGCTCGGACACTTTATTCCCTTTAATACTTTAATGTATGGTCCCCCATATCCATGGCTGCATCTATTAGTTTATTAATGTTGACTGACTTATTCAACTTGTGGCTGATTCTATTTTATTGTCTTTATGCCTTTATTTATATCTATTAGTTTATTAATTTTAACTTACTTTATTTTGCAATTTACTAACAATGGTCCTGCTGGATTTGATCTTTCATCATGGTGGAGAGTGGGTCAAGAAACCACTCGTAGCATGCTCAAGATAATTTCTGCACATTAAGAAAGGTTGTGGACTCTGACTTGCTTTCCTGTAATGATTTAGTGGATGAATATGTTTCTAACTTGGGGTATATAGGAGTCCAACAACTAATAGTTAATGATCCTTCTAGTACATACTATGAAATAGAAGGTGATTATGGCATTAGGACTTTACTGGACTTTGTGAACAACCAATTTAATGTTATTAACTTATTTGTTATAGAGGAATGTGAGCCAAGTATTAATGTACCTAATATAATCCATCACAATGAGCATGATGAACCTGATGAACCTGAAGCTGCCACTGATTGTGATGAAAGTGATAATTGTGATGACAATGAATATGTTGTTTCTTCAGACTATGATTGTGATACGCTAGAGAAACTTTTTTAAACAAAAGAAGAGAGACATTAATGATAAACTGACTAATTATAAAGAGTTGGATAGGTCAATGATATTCAAAGATATTGCTAAAGCTAGGAAAGTGATAAATATGAATGCACTTACAAATGGTTATGAGTTAAAGCAAGTTAAAAGTGAACAACCAGGCTTAGGTACATATGTGAAGCTGTCTGCCCTTTTGTATGTCACATATCTAGGAATACTACAGGGGGTGGGGCTGAATTCAGGCTTTACATGATGAGCACACTTGTGAACCTGCATATGAGAATCATAGGGTTAATTCCAAGACCATTGCTGAATACTTCAAGATAGGGTTATAAGATAATCCAAAAATTAAGGTTAGTAAGATGAGAGCAAGCTTGAAGGCTGCATTTAATGTAAATGTTAGTGAGTCAAAGTGTAAGAGGATGAAAAGATTGATTTTGGAGAATCTGGAAGGTAGTTTTACTGATGAATATAATAAGTTGGTGGCATATGTTAATGAATTGAAGTTTAGCAATCCTGGAAGTGATGTGGTAGTTAACTTATCAAAGGATGTTCTTGCTGAAGGCAAGAGAAGGTTCCTAAGGATGTACATATGTTATCATGCAATGAAGATGGGGTTTAAAAGTGGGTTGAGGCCTTTTATAGGGTTGGATGGAATTTTTTTGAAAGAGAAAGTTAAGGGTCAGCTTTTGGTGGCAGTTGGTCAAGACTCTACAAACCACTTTTATCCATTAGCTTAGGCTATTATGGATAAAGAAACAAAAGTCACATAGAAGTGGTTTTAAGTTATCTACAACTGTCATTGGACCTTAAGATGGATGAAGGAATCACTTTTATCTCAGATATGCAAAAGGTATGAACACTTTACTTCATTACTTTATTATTTTTCCAATCTATAAATATAGATTCTCATACTTCTTCTTTCCTTTATATGCAGGGGCTGATTGATTCAATCTCAGGAGTTCTTCCTGAGGCAAACCACATATTTTTTATTAGACATAGAAGCAAACTGGTGCAAGAGATGGGGATCTGAGGAATACAATAAATATCTGTGGTGGGCAGCTTGGAGTACCTATGGAGAGGACTTCCAAGATCAGTTGAAGAATATGAGCCAAGTGGATGATGATGGTAAAGCTGTTGTTGAGGATCTGTTAAAGTATCCATATACTTGCTAGAGTAAGGCCTTCTTTGATACTACTTGCAAGAACCAGTCAATTGATAATAACCTGACTGAGTCCTTCAATGCATCGATATTGCAAGCTAGACACAAGTCAATTATAAAGATGTTAGAGGAGATCAGAATCAAGGTTATAAATATGTTGAATGATAATGAAGCTGAAGTGATGGGGGTAGGGAAGTGAATACAGTCCCAAGACACTGAATTTGTATAACTAATTCATGAGGATTGCACAAAAGTGTCATGTGAATGGCAATACTGACCAAGGTTATAAGGTGACAGAAGGTAGTGATAAGCATATTGTCAATCTGGGGGCAAAAAAATGCACTTGCAAGACATGTGACCTTTGTGGAATCCCATGTCCTCATGCAATCTGTATCTTACTATACAAGAAGGTTGATCCTTTAAGTGAGATTCACTGGTACTTTTCAAAAGAGGCATATCTGCAGACTTATTCTCACAAGTTACAACCTATGAGATGAGAAAAGTCCTGGAAGTTAGAGCCCTCCCAGAATATGGAACCACCTGAATTTGTAAGGCAGGGTGGCAGACCAAAAGTAAAAAGAACAAGAGAGGCAAATGAGTCAACCAATAGACAAGGGCAATGGTCTCAATCCAGAAAAGGGAGAGTAATAACATGTAATAACTATGGAGAACCTGGACATAATGCTAGGAGATGTGCCAAGGTAATCTATCTCTTAAACAATAACTTTGAACTTCTATTTTATTCTGTCGAGAGTAATAACATGTAATAACTATGGAGAACCTGAACATAATGCTAGGGGATGTGCCAATGTAATCTATCTCTTAAACAATAAAATTGAACTTCTATTTTATTCTGTCTTGTTCTAACATATAATTGTGTTGTATTTGGTAATAACACTCTAAAGGAAAACAACCAATGGGTGGAAATTTAAGGGGAAAACAAAGAAAAAGAACTTTGGTTGATGAACCTGATGCTGAAGAGCCTACATCACTAGCTGTTGTAGATATCCCAACTGAAGATGACTTCTATTTATCA